CCACTCTACTTAAAAGTGTGTTTCACGTCATTATGACAACCGCTCAAGACCGACACACCTTATTAGTCGCTACACACCTTATTAGTCGCTACACACCTTATTAGTCGCTACACACCTTATTAGTCGCTACACACGGACTACTGGACTTTTTACGCTCAGTTAAAGTTAAGTTCTTATAGTAATCAGTGAAAGATTGACGTCCTCCGTTTAACACTCGCGCACATGCAAACACAATGCTATAAAGTAAGCGTTTTTTTTTCTTTTTGGCACCGAGGCATCCTCTGCACAAATTGCCCAGAATTCCCCAAGTCAGAAGGAAATGATTGTTTTTAGATTAAATTCGCAACGAATGGAGAATGCCCTAAAATTGCTTTTTTTAGCAAATTAAGAAAGGCACTCTTAAAAAAATCCTTTCTCCTGAGAAAAGTCGGCTTTTTGAAACACAGTAGTTACAAAATCCTRAACCATTAAGAACACATTAAAGTTACGAAGTGATCATGAACGCATGTTTTAAAAACGTCTGAAAACAACTCAGTCCATCTATAATGAAAGCCTTTAGTTGTTCGTGCATGCTGGCCAAATACAACTGTATACGGAAATTTCCCGCTGTTTATATTCTACTTTAATAGGTATTTTGTACTATAGTCCCAATTATATCTATCTTGACAATTTACCAGACCTTTTACCTCATGACCATTTTGACATTGTAATAAAAATAATTAAAAAACTGTCGTGAAACTTCCATCATACACAACATGGGGTATGTTGCACTCAGTAGATCTAGTAGAAAAGCGCTTAGACAGACATTTTAACCTTTGTTAGAAATGTAAAAAATACAAATTATTTACACATGAGATAAGTTTAGAAAGTTAATGTATATATAGATGTATACTAACTGATAATTGTGTTACTTAGCAGGATTTGAAAACGTCCGGCTCAGACAGAAATATAAATAGGTAATGGGACATAATTATAAAGCCATTACGAACTTTACAGTAATGAACACTAATAAAGACATCCAGTGAAGCTACAGAGTAACGCGTTTTTAAGAAGTGAAACTCAAGTTCCCTTAGTTTATTTTTGTTTTTACAATGAGTGATGTGGTTGGCCTCTAAAAATCGTCTACATTCAGTAGCGGAACAACATCGTAGTATCCTGGTTTTTATGGAAAGGCTGACTGTGGAATAGTATGATTGTCCAATTGTTCGGTTCATGCAGTCGGCCTTAACCACTATTTATATATTGTAAAGCTGCTCTAAGCCTACTGTTTCTTCAATGTGTCATATCCTCTCAAAAACAAAATATGAATTACAGACACTAAGCATTAAAATGTCCCCTATAGTCCCCTATAGTTCCCTGTAGTTCCCGATAGC